TATAAATATTTGTCTATGTCTAACTGATGAGTTACCTAATAAAAAGGTAATTGATTGCTTTAAATATCTATAATTAAAAGAGAGAAAATCATAAAATTAATGCTTGTTGTGCATGGTAAGAGAGAGAAAACCATCCGTAATTTCTACCATGTTATCAAGAAATAGTTCTATAAAACATATAATAAAAAAACATGTATATTATTTTATTGAGATTGTGCCGACAGAAACATATACTGAAAATATACTGTATATAAACACTCCATATACAATTTCTTTTGGTAAGATTTCGTCGACAAGAACATATACAATTTATCACTTCATATAATTTTTTCTTTCTTACTTTCTTTCTCGTATTTTTTTTTTCTTTTGGTGATTTCTTTTATGTGTGTTTTATTGATATGAATCATTTTTTTTCGTAAAAATTGCAGCTACAACGATCTATATGTTGTGTTTCTAATCAGTAAAACTTTTCATGTTTTGAATGGGCAGTATATATAGTGTTCGTAGTTAGTACATATTTAGTATAAGTTGCAATAATTTACTACTATTAAAAAAAAAAACAACAACAAATTGCTCATTTATCAATATTCGTCTTCAACAAAAAAGAAAAAAAATTCTTATATACGAAACATAAACTATGAATAAACATCAAATGCACATTGAAATCAGGAAAATCAAACATCCATTCACAAAAAATACTCAACAATTAAAACATAAACACAAATAAAAAAAATCATTCATATACATAATTATAAGAAATATCCAAAACGACATAAACAATAATCAACCAAGAAATAACACATTTCTCATTTGTCAATTTTGTCGTAAAAAAAAAAAAAAAAAAAACTTCTAATACACCAAACATAAACTATGAATATGCATCAAAAGATTTGGACGCCGACGGGAACATATACTGAAATAAGTTAAATACAAACGCAATATATACTGTCGACATCGCAACAAGCCTGAGCTTCAGCCCCGCCTTCGTCATCTCAAACTTGACCTCCTTGCTGAAAGGAAAAGGGGAGGGGCGCGCTGTCGTTTGCTGTTGGGCATGAGGGCGGCGTCGGGGCACCGACTTGCGATCAAATCGGGCCTCAAGTTCATGTGGCACTCTCTGTGGCTGATGGAGTAGATGAAGGCCCGACTCGTCGTCTGCCGCAGAGGCGCAAGAGAAGGTGTCGTAGAAGTGGGTTGGCCATGGATGGATAGGGTTTGCAAATAAGAAATAAAAAATTGATGGAGATGAAGAGGGGTCGACGGTGGAGAAGAAGAAGAAGAAGAAGAAGAAGAAGAAGAAGAAGAAGAAGAAGAAGAAGAAGAAGAAGAAGAAGAAGAAGAAGAAGAAGAAGAAGAAGAAGAAGAAGAAGAAGAAGCAGAAGAAGCAGAAGAAGAAGCAGAAGAAGCAGAAGAAGAAGAAGACGTTGAGTAATGGGGAGAGAGATGAGAAATTTACCATAAAGATAAGACTGTCATTTTTTGGTAACTGGTTTGTTTCCCTAAATCGAGATTTAACAATATACAAAATTAATAATTATTTAAAAATCAGACTTTGTTATTTTTGCAAATAAAATTGGTCAATTTAGTTAATCTGCACATAAAAAAAAAGAGCTAGAATTATGTAATAAAAAATGTTAACTTAAGTGCATTGCATAATTTTCTCCATGTTCATTGACATGTTATTATCAAATTGTATCATCAAAACTATTACAATTCCAAAAACGAGTTTTATCATCCACAAATGCATTCTCAAAGAACACCACTGTAATAATATTAATTTGGCATCGTCCAACAAATCTAAGTATTTTCTAGAAGATTATCTTGTTGGGCAAGCAAAATATATTAAAGGAAAATTTTTATTTATTTATTTACTTGTGAATCAATTAAGTTCCTAGTACTTACTATTAATATTATATGGTATATATTTATTATAATATGTATTATGGAGTCCTAAACTTTTAGGAGAAGGATTACATAATATATATATCTCATATATTTATTTACCATATCTGTCACATGCATTAATGAGTTTGCTTTTATGTCGTAGTTAGTTTTCTCTCTCTGGTAGAACAGGGATAAAGTGACAATGACTATGAAATGATGAGCTATCCACACAAGAAAAATTTTGGAAGTTCTAGAGAAGATCTAAGGAGGATTTGGAAAGATTCACAACAAGATCTTTGAGATTTGGAAGATCAACTATTTTAGGAAAGTAATGTTCTAACACTATTTCGGAAAAGGAATTCTGAAGATTTTAAAATGACATACACTAATTTTACATAAAGGAAATTTACTTTAAATTAAGGATTTCGTCTGAGATCTAAAAAGAATCAATTGAGAAGGAATTTGACTCCTAAAATGAAAAGAAGAAACTTGTGAAGACTTCTTACCTTAAGGAGATTGTATATAAGCCTACTCAACAATCAATTGAAGTGAGTTGCTGCAGTAATTGAGTTCATCATTCATCATATTCAACTTAGTGTTTGAGAGAATTTTATTCCTTTTAATTTGTTCGTCAAAACACTTCAGCGTTTTTAAATTATTGACGAACTAAGTTTGTTTAGTTTCTTTTTCTTTTACAAAACACCTTTTAGTGCTTAGGGATTAAGTACTTCTATAGCTGGGAGAGATTATTAGCTATAGTAAAGTCCACATGACGTGGCCAGAGAAGTAGTTGATAGGATCGAGTATAGTGTTGGCTAGGCTTAGAGGGAGTCCGAGTCGAGTAAGTCTACGTTGTACTTTACGCGCGTAAACCGGTTTATCAATGAAAGAGATCTGAGGGGGAAGTGGGACGCTCTCCGAAGACATATATGTTTTTAAATCGCTTCCGCAATTTTATTTCTTTGTGTTGCAATACAATTTAGTAATACAGAATTTCCGTGTTCTAACACAGTCTGCGTACTTTATACACTATATAATATAACTACCAAAGTATGGTTACATTCTGAATAAATTAGAAACACACCTAAAGGTCACCAAGGTTGAATGAATCTCCAATTACCACTCACAAATTTTGAATCCAACACAAGCTTTTGAGTGACAAAACCATAAAAAAATCAATCAACACCCCTCCCCCC